ATTGGTTGATCCTTGGTTCTGCCCATACTCATTGGAGTATGTAACAGTTTTGATATCGGAGCAGACCATATAACGGATCTGCTCACAAAGGTAAGTCTGGTTAGGAATTAGATTGCCTTCTCAATCTTCCAAATCAGCGCTGTACTACTATTAAGTTCAAAGTTGCAAAATTTTTTCTTTTTCTTTTTCGGTATTCTATTTAGTTCGGCATTTCCGTTCAACTCGGTATTCGGACTTATAATCCGGATTTCTGTTTTCTTCCGGTATACTAATCCGATAATTGATTAAGTTTCGGATTTCTGATTTTACATGAATTAGGGTTGAATCAGGATCATGTTGAAATTCGGCGTTTCTGATTTCCATTCAGCATTCCGTTTTTTGGCATTTTGTTGTAAATCCTATATTTCGTTTTCTTTTGGATTTCCGTTGTCTTTCAGTATTGGAAATTAGGGTTACGAACATCTTTGGGTTTTAGATCAATTTGGAGAAATTCGAACGTTTTGGGACCGTAAATCCGGAAATTTCGCGGAAACGCGGAAAATTAGGGTTGGGACCGAAATTTTCGCGATTTTTTTTTCATTCCCCTTGTTTGAGAAATTCCGAAAACAGGTTTAGGCTTTTAAAAATCGGATTTTGACGGTGGAAATTCCCGAAAATTCGCGTTTTTGAAAATTCGAGCGTTTTTTCTTCTGAAAATTTCCGAATTTTTTATTAGCACACTAAGCCGTATCTGACCCTCAAACTGCAACTTCCGGGTAGTTCACTCATTAACGGTGAACTCCCGGACTCAAAGTGATCTCAAAGAKACCTAATCATAATACCTTTCAAATTCGTTTATGATTGCAATTATTGTTTATTGATTATCTTTATTGCAAATAATGATTATTGGTTATCTTTATTACAAACATTGTTTTATTGATCATCATTAGGAGTATTTCGTTATTTATCATTAATTAATTTTATTGATTAAATCGTTATTAATTCCTTATTACGAATTTTTGAATGGTTTACGGGAATTTTTTTTCTCTGTTTGATTAGGTGTCTACAGTCCATCAGTGGGACAAGGGACTGTATGCGTATTGTTTGATTGTTCTACCCCTGTTCCCACTCTCCCTACCCTCCCCGTATTCTGTGACCACCGGGACCTCTCAAGTACCGCATCAGTACACACTGATGTTGATGGAACAGGATACCGGGGCACTGCCACGGCGCAGTGCCAGGCTCGCAGTTCGTGCTCGACCTACGGTACCTCCACGAACCAAGGCTCAGCAACAGAGACTCAGCAGGCGGACGACTCCAGCGGCATCGAGTACAACATTGACGGTACCGGACACCACCGGAGTTCTTCCCACATGCCCGGTCCGAAGGGCCAGTGAGCCGTTGGCTGACTATTTTGGGCGGCTACAGGTATTTACAGATACCGTAGCTGCCGCCAAGGCTCAGCAGGAGGCAGCAGAGGCAGAACGTCAGCGGCTGGCCAATGAGGCGGCAGCCCAAGCTCAGCAGACTGCTGAGGCTGACGCAGCGGCACGAGACCAACGGAATGCCGCCAGTACGGAGTCCCTGATTCATAGTGAAAGTCAGTGGACAACGTTCCTCCAAGGCATGATCTTTGTGCCTTCGGACGCAAAGGCAGATCCGACACCGGCGGAGGCAGAGAGGATTCACCTGGCTAACTTGATGCTGGGCATGATGAGAGGCATCATGTGGAATAACACACTGCTGCAGGCACATCTGCGCACGGAACGACAGCAGCGACAAAAGTACCAGAAGGACATTGCTGTTTTAACAACTGCCATCCGCACCGAAGCAACGCAGCAGCAGCAACAGCATCAGCTGTTGAACTCCGCTCTCGCACGCATCAACAGCATGGAGGCTAACGCCTCAGCAGCGCCAGGCTGCACGACAGACGCGACGAAGCAACTCAATGAGCGCATCGATCACGTCGTCACCATCATTGGCGACATAGGTGTTTTCAATAGGCCGGACACGATCAGTAGCACGGTGGCCGCCATCAAGACGGACATCACCAAGCTGCAGACGAGACCGGACACCGCTACAAAGACTTACAAGATGCCGCACTTCGACATCAGCAAGTTTGACGACTACAACAAGTCGGACGCCTTGACATGGTGGCAACGCTTCCTCACGGAAGCATCATGCCGCACTGTCCCGGCAGACGACATGATGAAGGCACTCTACTTGCAACTAATTGGAGGAGCGCAGGCTTGGATGAACCATCTGGCGGCTACCAACAAATGCACCATCGCCGACCTCCACACGCACATCACGTGGAATGAGTTCGAGAAGCTATGGTTCACCCGGTTCATGGTCCGCAACGTAGTGAAGGCGGCCATGAACGAGTTGTACACCTGCTCTCAAGGAAATATGCCAACTCGAGACTGGACAACCAAGTGGCAGAAGATAGTGACCACGCCAGGATTCGATTTGAGTTTTTCAAATCAACGATCCGAGTTCTTCTCGCGATCGTGCSCGGGACTGCGGTCGGCACTCGGCAACGAGTACGACTATGACASGTTCCAGGCCATTCTGGATCGTGCGAACTTAGTCATCCAAACGGATGACAAGGCCGCAAACGAACGGCAGTCCCAGCCGCATTATGTGGCTAAGCAGAGCTATCAACGTCCGRCACATAACAATGCCGTGATTTCTGAAGAAACAGACGATCTCCACGCTGCAGCAGCATCCTCGAGTGATGGAGGAATTGTAGCAGCGCTCCCGCCGAAGCGTCCCAAGAGAGTTCGGAAGAAAAAGGCGACACAAGAGACAGCATCGACGGGAACTGGGCAGCAGCCATGGACGGCTTACAAGATAACGAAGGATGTCTAAGACCTTCGTCAAAAGTACGGATACTGCCTCTGGTGCAACGGCGTCACTCATGTGACCGCACAATGCCCCGAAAAGGGCAAGGCACGCGTACCCCGTCCAGCAAACTCGGGAAACTGAGTTACGCAAGGAGAGGGGCGACGTCTCTCCTCACTCCGCCGGACCCGGTTGCCTTGCTAGCAATCGATGTCACTACCGGGGAGCATGCGTTAGTTGCTGATTCTCGTGCCACGTACAAGCATTATGCCGCCCAGCTGGTACCACCAGTAAACCAGCCAAGCCACGTGCACTTAGCTAGCGTATGCGCAGCCTGTACACCGTCGGCAAGTGATCCGGTCAGTTCGCCACTAATTTCCGAGGACTCGACGGCGTGGTCAAGACTTGAGGAGCTTGACCCGCTCACGAGAGAGGACTTCGCTTGGATGCCTCTACCCTCGACCGGAACCTTGCCAAGGCCGCATTGCAACGCCCTGATGGCAACTCTACGCTCCTATTTGCACACTACAGTACCAGCTCCGTTGACGGACGACGGGGTAGCTGTTGTCGATCTCCGCTCCTATCTTGCGAAGATTGACCGCGAGTACGCCACCCAAAGGTACGCCGAAACCGACGCACCTTTGCTCTATATCCGCATTCAAATCGGAAA